GTCTCAGCGTAAATAAAGCAAACAAATTTCCTTTTTCTAAATAAAAGATTGCTCAGAAGCTAAATTTCCAAGCAGATGCTAAGCAACAAAGAAAACTAACAAATCACACGACTTCTGGTTTTATATCGCAGATTTCGTCTTTGTTGTGTCTCTGACTTCGATGCAACGACTGTGGCACAAGCAATTGAAACATTTTTGGCAGCTAAACAAAAAGCATGCAACAACTTCAACAACACCAGCAAATCCATGTGTTAATGTCACATGATACATTTATGTGCTTCAATCATTACTTCTACTCTGAGGTTGACTTTTTGTTTTTGGACAACCTCTGCACTTAAATACTCCACAATGTTACAAGCCCCCGCTGAGGAAGAGTAATAGTTGGTTTTCAGTGTAAGGGAAGGGCACTGCAGTTTAGCAGACCTGTCTCTTATACACATCTAGATGTGTATAAGAGACAGGTAGCAGCACTTATGTTAACCACAGTTTTTGCTATTTACCATTTTTGCTCCCGCTTTCAGATTTCACTTTCATTTGCATAGCGGAGTACTTTGATTCTCGCTTTTTGCACTATTGCTCATGTTAATTCAAGTTTGGCCACAAATGGCAAATACTTAAAATTATTAATATAAATAGTTAGAAATACAATTTCACAATTCGTGAGGTCTCATAACTGAAGTGTATACTATGCCTTCTTGAAATAGAGCTTAGATTCTCAGAATATTATGGAGCGTCATCACGTTATCAACGAATAAAGAAGAATACAGAGCACAAGAATAAATATGAGTAACGCAGTGTCTGTTGACGATTTTCGTAAAATGTTTTTGTTTTAGCAGTTCTCTGAATACCAATATCTCTTGGTGCTATATATAAGTGAGCTGAAAATTAAGTGAACTAAAAACCATAATACTGTTAACCCCGACCAACAAATCAAYACTTTTAACTTAACGGTAGCCATTCAAGTGGCATAATTTCTTATCTTGCTCTTAACAGAATGCCCTTTTATTCCATAACGCTGTGTCTGCACATTTTCTTGAGAGGCTTTAAACGGAATTTTGGGTCTACATTGATAGCTCGGATTATTTATTGTACAAGTTAGAACAAAAAAATAAATTTCTTCGAGTCGCATACTCCCTCAATGACTCGCCAACTCCACTCACTCCCCCAATCTACCACAATATTTATATCATCCACTACTCGAGAGAATAACCAAAGATGATAAATTGCTTGCGGCTGAGGGAAATTGTTTGTTTTAGTGCTGATATAACATTAGTTTACCATGAGAAATTGGCGCGAAGAACAGAAGCTCTCTTCTTTCGCTTTTGAGTACATCTTTCATTTCTTAAACTCATAATAAATCGTCATGGAAGATTGTTGATCTTTTTGCGAGAGATATGTATATGTGAGAAGCAGGATATGCTATATATAAACTCCGGTCTGATTAATAGAAATTGAAGGGCATGCTACTCTGGACATAAGCGTAGCTAGGAGTACTTCAACTTATTTTAGAAATCACCCAAATAACCGGGTGCCGAAGACCGACTAAAAATTTTTTTAATATTTTGACAATAACTTAAAACCTACTACAGTCTTTCAGACTGTCATCTTAATTAACAAATGCACATATGCATTATTATATGTTTTCAAAATGCTCCGCTAAATTTTTTGGAGCTAATATGTCGATTACGTTCAAACGTTAGTCAGATAACCAACCAACGACATTTCTTGGTAGCAATAGAACATTTCTTGGTAACAATAAAATTAATCAGAACATTAATCAAAACATCAAATTTTTTGTTGTTATATAGTAAGGCCATATATTAATCAACTACCTGAATAAACTTATATTAAAGGTTCTTTTTGATTTTCTGATTGAATATTAACCTACGGATTTTAAAAATATAAAGTTTAAGGCTGTCATTAAAATTTAATTTCTATTTTAAAACCAAAACTATTTATTGGGTTGCAGTTATAGAGGATGTCTTTCCATGAAGAAATAAAACTTATATAATCTTATTTTATGACCAAGAATATTGAGTTAATAAAAAGACAAAGGTTCGTCATTATGTTTTTACAATTATTTCGGGCTTGGATCATGGAATCGCCGGCGAGGGTGATGTGGGAGGGAAAAAGCCGTTATAGAAGATGTGCAATGAGTTTCTTTACAGATGGGTCAAAGCTTGTGGAAAGGTTGGTGGAGTGTCGGTGCTGCCGTATGTTCCTGTGTTCTTCTACTAAATACCTGGGTTTCGCGATAGCTTGGCGAGCGCTGGGCCACCATCGGCACATGCGCAATCGCAAAAGCCTTTTGGTCCAAGATCGATCGTAAGAGATCTAGTGATCCCTTTGCCCTCAGTTTTGGTAGCCTCTCGTAGTGGAGCTTTCAACATTGCCCTTTTGGCATCCATGCTGTAAGGTTGGGCATCTTACCAGACTCCATCTGCAAAAGCCGTACGAAATAAGATGAGATGGATAAGCACATACCTTCATACATCCTATCGAACTGGCGGGATATATAAGTTCGAACACAGGGGTTGTTTTTTCTATAGCTTCACAATGAACTACATATAGCAGTACACGTGCGATCTCTCTAGATCATCCACCTAGCCTCACCAACTCTAACCGCCGTGGCTGGCTCGATTATATTTCACCCGAGAGGCACAAATTCCGACCATTTTTAAAGATTTGTTTGAGCATGCCAGCACGTCGAATATTCTCTTCCGAGGCGGCAATTGCCTCGCGTTTGTCTGCGTAGACAAGCGATTTCACATAATTTCACGAAAAGGAAAATCTTGTCAACGTGCAAGGTACTCAATTCGACTTCAATTCATAAACGAGTTGGATTTTATAATCCCGCTAACCAAGCTCATTCCTCAAAATGTTTTTACGCGTGGTGGGGGATGAGCTTCCTCGATACGCAGGTCCGCCGCCTCTGAGAATATGCATTATCCACTAGAGTTAGCATGCTGCTCGAATTACCGACTATGCTGTAAGTAAGTCTGGTAATTACGAAATAACAAACCAAGCTGAGTATGCATCAAATAACAGCTCTGAAGAAAGTTATGTGTCATTGAAAACTACTTGTCTTAAAAATAACAAAATCTGATCATGTCAACTCGCAGTTCATCAAGTAATAAAAAGCAGTCGAACGAACTAAATGTTTCCTTATCAAACTAGTTGGAGAGTAATTTATAATTATTTAATTTCACTGCCCGACTTGCAAAGGTGGAAACTATCTTATCCCACCTCATGAGGTGAAAAGCTTACAGCAAAACACAAATGATTATGTATGTGTCGAGAATAGTATTTCTATATACTGAGCCTTGATTCGTTCATAATCTATGATGTGAGACAAATCTGACTGTTTCGGCCTGGAATCAATTTATACTCCGCAGTTCGATGATTTTCAGCCACAGAGTTTAGAAATATGACGATCATTACACCTTATAACAACAATTTTCTTTCCCCGTATAAAATATTTTCGGAATGTAATTCTAGGAATTAACAATTTTTTCAATTATCTATGATTTATTTATGAGTTGTCACTGGCTCTGACTAATTATGCCATTCAGAATAATTAAAAAGCAAAATAATAAAAAAAGATGAGATATCCTAATAAACTATTGAACTTTTTCTGCTTTACAGGTTTCATGTTCAGTGTGTTGAAATGATGGAAAGAAACTAAGAGAAAACGAGCCACAAGAATCAAAGAGATCGTGTTTTCTGCCACAAAAAATAACCAGAATGTTAAATTAAATTAATATCTTACAATTTTAAATTAAAGCTACAAATACAACTCGAGTTTAGGACTTTTGTAAGCTAGACAAAATGTGCAATTGCCCCAGCGAACCACCACGAGTTCAGCGCCAATGTGCCGAGCGGCTTTCCATACACAGCGAAGCGTGTTTTTCTCGGTCGCGAAGCTGCGCTCGTGAATAACGTACGGCGGATCGTTCTCCCATATAGAGTCACTACACAGTAACACTAACACGCACAGCGAACAAATACAACAATAACAACGCAGAACAACAAATGTGTTCTTTGCTCTCAGGAAGTAAGTGAGTTGTCTGCGTTTAAAAGCGACAGGGGAAGTGAGAGGTGCTAGCAGGCGAAGCAACAGCTAAACCGCAACGCCCTTAAAAGCCGGCAACACTACAAAGTTTATTGGCACGAAAAATCAAAACGGCAGAAAAACCACAAACACCGTTAAGCGAGGTAAATGCCAAGGAAAAGAGAGTTTAAAAGTGCGGAACCGAAGTGGTGAACAGTCAAAACAGCGGAAAAAGGTTACAAAAAGGCGGAAGAGGAGTGTGAAGGACCGTATACGAGAAGCAAGCAATTGAGCAAAAACAGACGAAAACACTCTAACCGAAGCTTAAGTGCAATAACGACAGAAACAGCAACAACAACAAAACCCCAACAGAGCAACTGCAACATCAATAACACAATCAACAACAACAATAATTGCACGTAGTAACATCAAAATACAAGCATTTCTTCCACTGCTACTCACACTAACTTAAGTCCATGGGAATTCCAAGCAAAGGGTCCAAAAAATGTGTAAAAAAAGTCTATTGGTATCTAAGGACTTTAAGTGCCGACAGTAGGAGCCCATAACACCTGAATAGAATCAAATGATATGAAATAAATGGTTTTCTAAAAGCCAACTGCATTGTCGGAGGACAAAGTCAACACCCCTGGGTGGAAGTTCCAGGCCAAATGTCAATCAAAAAAACATTTCAGTCCACATTCGTAGTCATCGCTCTAATGTTTTCTGAACAGCTCCATTTTACTGAAGGTTTCAGGAGTTAGGAGGCTGGCGAGAATCTTCAACCAAAAACACGTTCTAACAAGAAATAAAACAAGCAGCCTATCAACAAAATGTGTGTGCCGAGTCGTATACGTAACAAAAATTAAGCGATTGTTCTGAGAATTTCGGTTATAGGATAGCAAAGTGGCAATTTAACAAAAAATTTCCAAAACACTACACAGTAAAAGGCTGAGCTTGCCGCCGTCGACGGCTACCATCCCCATTGTGAATAAAATTACCCAGGTTAAAAAAATATACAGAATTTAAAATTTCGTAAAGTGTGTAATTTGATTATTTGAAAATGAATTTGATTGTGGCCACAATGAGTTTCGTGAARGCAAGTAGCCACCAAACTGCAAACATCACTCTCACCGCTGTCAGCTGGTTACTGCTGGGGTTTGGATTGATCATTTCATTGCCAGGTGAGTTTCGGCTTTGATAACCGCATTCACCAATTTTAGCTAATGTATTAAACGAAATTATTTTTAAGATAATATAGGGAATCCTAGTCTAGCTACGTTTTCATATTTTGCTATTATTGTTTTGGTGCAACCAAAGCAGACGTTGTAGAGCTGAAATAGCTATTGAATTTACATATTACACAAGAAGTTTATTACAAGAAGCTGTCGAAACCGCTGAT